TCCCCTGAGAGGACCCAGCTGAGACCCAGTTGCCCAGCTGAGACCCAGTTCCCCAGCTGGGATGGTCGCCAAACCCTCGATGCCCTGTCCCGGGTGCTATGGTGCCTTCGATGTCCCGACTAAGATGGCCACAGTCCCCTCTGTGCCTCAGCCGAGATGGTCGTGGTCCCCTCAGCGCTCCTCCCGCAATAGTCACCCTCTCCAGGGTACCTGAACTCTGAGGTGGCCCTAGTCCTCCTCAGGGCCCTGACCAAGATGGCCACGGTCCCCTCAACACCTCGGCCAGGACACCTCCACACCCTGATGGATGTCACCTGTTCAGCTTGAGGGTTTTCAGGAGCCCCAAAACGTCCCGGGATGAGCCCCGTACCTTGAAGACATCCCAGGATGAGTCCCGCCCCCCCCCCGAGACAGCGACATCTCCATGTCCAGCTGCTCACTCGTGGTGATGGATCACCACCACCCTGTGGGGCTGGTGGCTTTTTTGGGACAGGGCCAGGAGGAGCCAGGCAGAACCAGGTGAGACACGCTGGACTTTTGCCAGCTTTGGATTAAGGGAGAAGATCCTGATGTAGATAAATCCCCATAAAGATGGGGTCCTTGACCTTGGGGTCACTGGTGGTACCCCAGGCAGAGGGTCTCTTGCTCCAGGTGGGAAGCACCAAAGGGGCTGCTGGGTGGTGTGAGTCCCTCAGTCATGAGAGAGTAACCAAGAGACAGAATTTCCTTCTTTTGTCTGCCACGAAGCAGAAAAGTCCAGTAGAGGTTTCCAACCCTTCTACCTTGGGGCATTTGGTTTCATACGTGATGGGAACCATGTCGCACTTCCCTCCATCCACGCTGGCTCTCAGGCGAGGAGCGCTCGTGCTGGGTCTGCGCTCTGCTCCTGCAAACCAAAAACATGACACGGCTTGTCCTTATCTTGAAGGACTCGCTGGTGTCCTCCTCCTCTCTTCTTACAAACCAGTGAGCGGCTGTTAGTCCCTTTCTGTCTGAAATGGTCTCTCAGGTTTCGAGTGGCAAGGTCCACTCTTTTGCTTGCAAGAGGGTCACCATGGTTGTCCCAGGTTGCCTCAGTGGGTTAAAACTACAGGTTTCACCCCAATGACAACCTGCCAGTGTCCCTCTTTCAAAGTGACATAGCAGTGGATGGCGAGGGATGAATATAGCTGTCCCAAAGAAGAACTTCTCAATGATAAAGCGTGAGGAGCAAGTGGAGAAGGCTTTGAACCTGCTTTTGGTAAGTCTCATTTTGAGGGCAGCAGGACAGCTGAAGCTGTAGCACACCGAGACGAGCAGGCGAGGTGTCAGGATGACAAAGGCAGCTGCCAGAACGATCTGGAGCTCCTTCCAGCACACCCTTTTAGATGACTGAACTTACATCCCACCTCTAGCCCAAGGGGAAGCAGGCCCCCCTAGGTCCTGCATCACATCTGCAGCATCCCTTGTCTCCACACTGCTGTATTTAAGCATCTCAGTTGCTTCTCTGAAGAGACTTTCAGAAACTGAGATCGGAGCTGTCCTGATAAGCTGTGGAGATAAATCCCGCCCAACCACATCCTCATTTTGTGCAAATTCTCCCTGCGCAACTAGTTTGACCTCTGGGGTTGTCAGTTCAAAGGCAAAGTTTCTTCTGCTGTCATCGGCACAGGGTTGGAGCTTGAGCACACGTTGATAGCTGTCAGTCTGAGGATGAGACAACTTTCTGGTGCAAACCTCTTTTGAATATACACCAGGCTTTGGGTGTCAAGTTTAGACCTCTGGATGGACATCCAGGTGTTTAAGCATAGACATCCTAGGCTCAGATGTCCCATAGGGTTAGGAGAAAT